GACATTGCATGGAGCACTGCACGGGGGCATCGCACGGGGACATTGCAGAGCTCGTTGCATGGGGGTGTTGCATGGAGCATTGCACAGGGCTTTGCATGGGAGCGTTGCGTTGCACAGGGATGTTGCATGGGGACGTTGCATGGAGCATTGCATGGGGCATCGCACGGGGACATTGCAGAGCTCGTTGCATGGGGGTGTTGCATGGAGCATTGCACAGGGCTTTGCATGGGAGTGTTGCGTTGCATGGGGACGTTGCATGGAGCATTGCACGAGGCATCGCACGGGGACATTGCATTGCACGTTACACGAGGATGTTACACGGAGCATTACATGGCGACATCGCATGGGGACATCGCCTGGGGTAAGGACGGGGCTCACCCCGGCACTGACCATCCCCCCCTCCCCACTCCAGTGCCACCCCAAGCCCACATCATCGCCTCCAAGACGGGCAACGCCCGGGCGCCCTTTCTCCTCACCTGCCACGTCTGGGGCTTCTACCCCCCCGAGGTGACTGTCATCTGGCTGCACAATGGGGACATCGTGGGCCCCGGTGACCACCCCCCCATCTCTGCCATCCCCAATGGTGACTGGACCTACCAGACACAGGTGACCCTGATGGTGGCCCCGATGGCCGGAGACACCTTCACGTGCTCAGTGCAACACGCCAGCCTGGACCAGCCCCTCCTGGAGGACTGGAGTGAGTCGGGGTGGGGGAGGACACCCACCCGGATGCCTGCATCCTCACCACATCGCTGCTCATCCCAACCGTGTCCCCGCAGGTCCCGGCTTGTCCCTAGGGTTGTCATTGAAGGTGGCCGCGGCCACTGTGGTGATGGCATTGGGGCTCAGCTTCTTCATCGCCGGCACCTACCGCTACTGGGCCAGGCCACCGGCACCAGGTGAGCGGTTGAGGAGGGACAGGGACAGGGTCAGTGGCCTGCGGTGACATGGACCCTCCTCACCTCCTCTACTCCCTCTTGCAGGTTACACTCCTCTTCCAGGAGACAACTACCCCGCAGGTAATGGCATATCCAGCCCATCCCCTGTCCCCAAGGGGCACGCCACCCCTTCTGCCACACCATGTCCCCCCCAGGCAGCATCTGAGGACCCCCAGGACGGTGACCTCCTGGCTCTGCCAGTCCCCCCCACGTCCCCGTCACCCCGGGGCTGACGCTGTGCTGCTGACAATAAAGATGCACCGTGGCGATGGGGTCGTTTTGTATAGGGGCTCCTGCGTCGTTCCACCAAGGGGAAGGGCTGCGGGGGGACACACACAACATGACACACACACGACATGACACACACACACGACATGATGCACACACGACATGGACGCACACACACGACATGACACCCACACAATATCACACACACACACGACATGACACACACACAATATCACACACACAGTATCACACACACACACAACATGACGCACACACGACGTGGACACACACACACGACATGACACGCACACGACATGGACACACACACACGACATGACACGCAGACGACATGACACA